CATTTTTTCTTCGTACTGTATCACAAACTAAATCGGATTACATCGTAAGACTTTTCAAAATGAATTTGTTATTACAGATTAAATCGTATATGATGTTAAATCAACTCGTTTACAAATAAATTAAAATATACACGTATATGGCCTCCACTTTTGTACGTATAAGCCATTTATTTGCATTCTATACGAATTGTTTGTTTGTATATATGTTTGTGTATCACGAAAACAACTTTGAATATACGTGCATTCTGGATGTGTGGGTCAGGTTGATTTGGTATATGTATTCTGAAGTTCTTCAACTGCTCAACAATTTAAATTACCTCTCTCAGATACTAACCCACGATACTAGGTTGCTCAGAAATTGTTTCAAAGACCATCAGGTGATCACCGGTCTCCATAAATAATCAAACTTTCTTTACATGTTTCGACAACAGAATCGTCCGGTATCTCTTCTAGTAGTTCGAGCTCGTTACCTGATACTGGATTGCGAATCATCGAAGCAAACAGAATTTGCATTCACACACATGTTTAGGGATGAATCCAAAACATCATTTGAAACTGCGTGTTACACTGATCGTGTTGCAGTTTGTTTTTTGACAATTATTAGATCTGTCGGGTAGTTTGAAAGAATTTTGAACCACTGCATTGCAAACGGCCTGAATAGTTTCACATTTTATTTTTATTTAATCAATCACAAACACTTATATCTTTCAAAAATATTCAGCACCAAAAAATGTACGATGGCTGTGCAGTAGACTGATGCAAAATTTGACTTTTTCGCTCCACAGTGCTTAAATGGTTTCATATCGGGTCCTGATAAGCCTCCCAAAGTTACAACTCATTTGGTTAGAAACAGACTTCGCACAAGCCATTTGAAGTTTACATGTAAATTACTATGGGAAATCTCAACTTTTTGTTCATTACCTTCTAGTCTTTTTCCATATTAAGCTGCGAAAAAGTTCGATAACTATTCTTATAGAAAATTTTCTCAGCTACAACTTTGCTGAAGATCGTTTCTATGTAAAACGAGACATGAAAAAGTTATTAATTATTTAAAAGATTGGTAAACTTATGACATGATCAAGCAGCTGCTCTGTAGGCAACACTGTATTTTGCAGTGTGACATAGTAGCCATGATTTTTGTGTCCTATTCAACGCCCCATAAACACCAATGTTGCCTGCTGAGCAGTTGATTGAGCATGATCATAAGACATCAGCGCATTGAACCATTGATAACTTTCAATCCTTGCATTTAATCAAAAAGTGGTCTTCAGCAAAGTTGTAGCTGGGAAAATTTCCTACAAGTACAAATGAAAGTTTTTGAAACAGACCGATATGGTGAATTATTAGATAGACATGAAAAACAATCTTGGTTTTCCCATACTAATTCCGATACAAACTTCAAATGGTTTGTGCCATCTCAGTTTCTCACCAAATGGGTTCAAATTTTGAGAGGTTAGTCAGGATCTGATTTGGAATCGTTTTAGTATTGTGGAGCGAAAATTTCAAATTTTGCATCACTCTACTGTGCAGCCAACTACAAAACATTCGGTGTATCATGGATACAAAATTAGCATTGAAGACAAACACTGGTTTCTGATTATTCCACAGCATGTTTGAATTGTCTGCATAGCCACTGTCCATTGTTGGCAACTGTAGTGAATGTCTAATGTTTTTCAAGCAGCCCGTCACGTAGTTTTGAGTGAATGTTCTTTAGCTTGACAGTTGGGATGACGATTTAATCAAGATGGAGTAGACCAGAATCACTAGTTTTATTAAACTTTTGGTGCTAAAAACAGCTATTACCAGCGATTATCGTTACAACGTTCACCTTGAACGAGAATATATGCTTTTCAGGAGAGCAGTAGCCACCACAAGCAAAATAAATCAGGATGATATCAGAGAATTGATTGATTGATTGATTTATCTTCATTAAAGAGGCTTTCAACCTGAGGCTGGTTCGCCTCCAACATATCAGAGAATATCACTCAACTACACAGGAACACTTTTTCACTCACTAGCACGCATCCCTTCAGAATCGGATTTGACTTTATATAATTTTTATACTAGTGACGAATGCTGTTCTTCCAATATCCCCATGACTTCTCTTCTTCTTCGAATTTCAAGCTTATTGCATATCGCATATTAGCTTATTGCGTGCTCTCAACTTAGTGTTCTAGATGCACTTCCACAGTTATTAAGGGGAAGCTCACCGCTCCGAAAAAAATAATTACGTTTTGATTTTTCTAAAAATATTGGAAAAAGATATCAAAATTCTAAGAAAATCACATATTTTTTAATTTTTCAAAGAAAATTCACGTGCAAAAACATTTTTTATAAGTCATTATGGCATAAAGTTGGACTCAAAAAACCACAAAACATCGAATTTTCGGTTTTGCTGAGAGTCCAATTTATTTTTCATGATGAGATAGAAAAAAAAAATTACATGTAATTTTTGACAAAAATCTAAGGAAAAAACTGATTTTCTTTGATTTTTGATATTTTTTCCCAATATTTTTAAAGAAATAAAAATGTACCGAAAATATTTTTTTTATTTTCGGGCCGATAAGCTTCCCCTTAATTGAGAGCTTTCGATGCCTGTATCATTTTTGCATTGGCATGATTGTGTGGCAAGTCCAACCCGAAAACTTCCTAGACCGGACCGGGAATTGAACCCAGCCACCTCCAGCATGGTCTTGCTTTGTAGCTGATGAATGAGTGAGATTAATCAGCACTGTAATATTCTCGTATAGTTTAATAGTTAGTTTCAAAACTGCTACACCTACCCTAATCAAGGTTGCAAAGACTCATTTCAGCTAAAACAATGTTTTTCTAAATTATGAAATAATTAGATGCCATGATCAAATTTTGAATTGGTAGGATACAAGGAGAGGTTGCAAAGAATGTGTTTGACATATTAAACCTGTTTATTTCACTTCATGAGAGTCACAATCAGCGATTTTTCACAAACTCACTCACTCACTCACTCACTCACTCAGCGATCAGCAAATCGCTGATTGTGACTCATAGAAAGCAAAATTTACAAGTTTTATGTTTCCAACGCATACTTTGTAACCTCTTCTTGTAAGTTACAAGTAAAACATGCCATCATACCATCTTTTGGTTTTATTATTCCGAAAAACATTATTTTAGCTGAAATGAGTCTTTGCAACCTTGACCCTAATAGATTTCATATGTTGACTTAAAATTGCTCATTTGCCATTATTAAGAAAGTTTGCTCAACTCTGTGTGCCACGAAGTGAGGGTTCGATTCTCACTTCATTAGGTGGAAATTATCGTAAAAAGTAAATTTGGTGTTGTGTTTGTGTGTTTTCATTGAACCAGTGAACCAGTGTTCAGACTGTGCAACCTCCAAATGAAAACGGTATCAATGGTTTATACCCAAGTAACACATAAAACATCTTTTTGAAAAAGAATTAGAACGGCTTGTTGTATAAATGTATTATAAGAGATGCAGAAAACATCCCACGTTATATATGAGGTTTAAAGATGTTTTCTTCATACTTCTTTGATTCAACATTTTCCAAAATAGTTTTCTTTTGCTTTTATCTTTAAATGTTATTTGAACGTGCATCTTACTGTATTAATACTACTATAAAACTTGTCGTATACAAAATCAATCCAGATTGACGTAAACATTAACGGTGCCATTGAGCCGGACTGTCTCTTTATGCAGTGATTGACAGTTTCTTATGAGGTATTCGGAGGTTTGTTATAAAGAAAGTTGAAAATACTTTTTTATGACATCTCATAAACTAATACAACTGAAAATGTGCAGGTTGTCTTATAAGGAGTTGAAAATACGTTTATAAAACATTCTGGCAATTAGATGTACGCTTCGCTACTATAACAAAACGTCTTCATGACGGATCGAAAGCGTGTTGAACGAGAAAATAATGTTCATGCCATTGGCAAGAACATGATAGATACTTATAACAAACTTTTCATCAAGCGGTGTTGGTCTAGTTAGGTAGTAACAAGTCTACCCCTCAAAGGACCAGTGATCGAATCCCATGCTCAAGTTTTTTTTATTGTTTTTTTTTTGTCGCTGGTTTTTTATGATGTTTCCAAAACATGTTATAAGACCAGTATTTAGTTGTATAAGCTCTGCGTCTTGCGCTTTTTAGGTTGTATAAATGTATTAAATGATGTATATTAAAGTATTAGTGATTCTTTGCGTTAGTCATTACAAAGTATTTTCAACTTCTTTATGACAAGCCGTGTTGCTTGGGATAATATCTAGACGCACGTGTGAAAAGGGTTGATGATTTCATTCAAACCAACAGCAGCATCTGGTAGACGAAGTTTATTCTATCAGATGGTGTAGTTAATATACGTGTATGTATTGTCATTTGTGGTAAATCGGAGGTTGAAGACATTTTTTATATTTTCATTTACAATGTCCAATCGGCTATAAGCGAGCATTTAATGCTAGATTTCTTCCAGTAATTCCACCACCGCTACTATTCCTAATTACTACGGTATACCAAACAACATCACACAAAATGCTTAAATTCTTCAACTACCTTCCCAACCATGTTTGCATAACATAACCTAGCATCACAGAAGCACCCGGTTACAGCCTCGGAGACAGAAGGATTGATTTTGCGAATCAGATCCACCGTCCAATTAAAACTTTGGGCATTTGCCGCATGAGTCTCTCTGCTCGCGTCTCTTCCAACCGATCATCCATCGGGTTGATCAACCCCTTCGTAAAACCAAGAGAGATGAAAAATCGAAGTCTCATCAACCACCGTCCAGCTGATGCGTGTCACACAACCGGGGGAGTGTGATTTATTAGTTACCTTTACGGTAGTATTTTTTTATATTGCCGTTCATCGGCGATCGGAAGGTTAGCCTTCGTTTATCCGATCTTTGTCAGTTATTTGGTCAGTTCAGAGAGCGTCAGAATTGTTTGGATTTATCATATAAATATTGAACCCAACCGACGGAACTGTATCATTGCTTCAGTTAACTTTAGTTCGACCAAATCGTTTCACTATACGCATCCCAAGTGCAACACTCCTGCTACATAATGGCATTTAAGGTGAGAACTTGGAGGTGGATCAGAAAGGAATCAGTGTTTCGGGTTGAAGAGTTTGGAGATTTGAGAAGTTTATTAAAAAAGACTCTTCTAAGACATAAAAAAGTGAAGACCCACTGACAGAAGATTTCATGTGAAGTGAAACAGATTTACGGTAGAATCCAGTTTTGTGTTGGAATTTTATCGAAAATCAAGTGAATCCGACAGTGTGCGAGGGTGCTTCATATTAAATTCGATTATTAAATTTTAAATTCATTATACCTTGTGCTTCACCAGAATGTCATCCTAAGTAAATTTATAACGATACATCGTTAACATCATTCTCTTTTCAACTCTACTCAACAGATGGTTGTTTTGTTTGCCACTCTGGCCTGTGCCAGCGCTGGCTACCTTGAAGCTGGTCACCACTCGGAGCACTACTCCCCAGCCTTGGCCGTCAGCTACAGCTCGATCACCCGTGAGCACCACCCGACAAAGGTTGCCAAGACCGTAACCTACGCCGAACCAGCTGTCCACTACGCAGCCCCACTTACCAAGACCGTATCGTACGCTGAACCAGCTGTACATTATGCTGCTCCAGTTACCAAGACCCTGGCCTACGCCCAGCCAGCTGTGCACTATGCCCAGCCATCGGTCCAGTACGTCCATGAGCCAACTTACACCAAGACTGTTGTTTCTGAGCCAACCTATGCCAAGACCTATGTGCACCAGCAGCCAACCGTGTACGCCGCCAAGACCTATGCTTCCGCACCAGTCTATGCCCAGACTTATGCATCCGAGCCAGTCTATGCCAAGACCTACGCTTCCGCACCAGTCTATGCCAAGACATATGCCTCCGAACCAGTCTACGCCAAGACTTATGCCTCCGCACCAGTCTACGCCAAGACTTATGCCTCCGCACCAGTCTTCACCAAGTCCGTTGTCCAGCAGCCAACCTACGTCAAGACCGCCCAACCCTTGTACGTCCATTCTGGTCCAGCTGTTGCCGCCAAGACCATTAGCTATGCACCAGAGTCCTCGGTTTCTCACGTTAACTTCCAGGATGCCAGCGCTCACTACGCTTGGTAATCACAGAAGTTGTCGAACAGATGTCTAGCTAGCTGAAAGTTTAAGTGATCGACCGGAGTGTACTCAACCTGCAACCACCACATATGTTGAACGATTTTGTCGAATAAATTTATTTATATGATTGTACTTCGCGCCTTTTATGTTTCTCCAACTGATGATAACCATTAGACAAATGCAAAATTTGAAATTTTCGCTCCACAGTACTCACACGGTTCCAAATCGGGGTCTGGTTAGCCTCCCCATGATTGAACACATTTGGTAAAAACTGGCATGGCACAAACCATTTGAAGTTTATATGGAAATTAGTACTGGAAAATTAAAAAAATGCGTTCATTGTCTTCTAACCTTTTTCCATATTGCAATGTGGAAAAGTTCTGTAGCTATTCTGATGGGAAATATTCTCAGCTTCAATTTTGCCTTAGATTGGATTTCAGCCAAACGTCAAATTAATTAGTTAATAATTGTTTAAGGGATTGATAATCTTATCGCATGATCAAGCAGCTGCTTTGAGGGCAACAGTGTATTCTGCAGTGTGACATAGTAGCCATGCTCTATTGCTTATTGAGACAACAATTGAAAATTCTAACTTTTTTGGCTGACGATTTTCGATATTGAAATGTTGTACAAAACTGTAGATTTAAAGGGCGAACACGAAATTATTGCGACACCGAAAATGTCATGCCAATTTTCTTATGATGTTTAGAATCAAACCAAAATTTTAGGGTATTTTTATACATATATTTACTTCAAAAATCAAAAGAAAAGTTAATCGATGGAGCCTTGAGTGTAAAATTGAACGCATTTTCGCTTGATGCCCTCCATCAAAGTCTTTACAGTGTCATCCGGTACCAGTTTCTCAGTTTTCTTCCATTTTCTTAACATGTCCTTCTCGTCTTTGACTGTCTTCTTGCTCTTCCGAAGTTCCCGCTTCATTATTGCCCAGTACTGCTCCACCGGGCGCAGCTCCGGACAGTTTGGCGGATTCATGTCCTTTGGAACAAAATGGACAGAATTGGCCTTATACCACTCCAGGACACTTTTAAAATAGTGGCATGATGTAAAATCTGGCCAAAATAGCGGAGCTTCGTCGTGCTGCTGCAAGAACGGCAAAAGACGCTTCTCGAGGCACTCAGATTTGTAGATCTCGCCATTTACTGTGCCCTTTGTCACGAAAGGCTCACTCCTCAGTCCGCAAGAGCAGATGGCCTGCCAAATGAGATATTTGGAGGCGAACTTCGACATTTTCTTCTTCTTAAATTTGTCGTCCACATCGAACTTGCTCTTGCCGGTGAAAAACTCCAACCCCGGAATTTGCTTAAAATCGGCTTTTATATACGTTTCGTCGTCCATCACACAGCAGCCATATTTTGTCAGCATCTTCTCGTAGAGCTTCCGTGCCCGAGTTTTAGCCGTCGATTGTTGCCGCTCATCGCGGTTTGGGAAGTTCTGTACCTTGTATGTATGTAGTCCAGCTCTCTTCTTTGCATTCTGGACGTAGCTCTGCGACATGCCGATCTTTTTAGCCAAATCACGGCTTGAGACGTTGGGATTTGCTTTAATCATCCGCTTCACCTTTCCCTCCGTCTTTTTGTTCTCCGGTCCCGGTTTTCTTCCAGCTCCTTTGCCGTGGTCCAACGTCAAGCGCTCCTGGAACCGCTTCAACACTCTGGAGACGGTTGAATGGTGAATGTTCAGCATTTTTCCCAACTGCCGGTGCGACAGGTCAGGAAATTCCAGGTGTTTGGAAAGAATTTGTTCTCTCAACTCGCATGTACACAATACACATCAATGAGAAAGTGTGCAAAATTTGGTTGATTTTTACCCAATGGTAAAAAATTTATGCCCTGTTGAATGTGTCGCAATAATTTCGTGTTCGCCCTTTAGGCTCACAAAAGCAAGATGGATTACAATATCGTGAACCGCATAAACAAAACAAAAATCTTTTCAAATTTGCACGTTGTTATCAAAAGATTTTACTTCTCTTCAAAAAATAATCATTCATAATGAGGCCGTTCGCAATGCTGTTGTATTTTATATGAACTGTTTCAATTTGAAACAAGAACAAAAACGTACCCCTGGCAATTCTGAGTGGCAGCTTTATTATTCGAGCACTATTTTGCACCAGATTTGCCACTGCTCGACTATTCGGGTTTATTTCAGAGCGGGTTTGAAACACGAATGGAATCCTGTTTCAAATTTTACACATTTTTTGGAAACTTGTAAGAAGTTTAAGGATATTTTATAGAAGTTTGGAGAACTTCATTTTAATAACGTAGAGCTTCACAAAAAATAAGAGATCTTCATAGAGAGGAGTACAACTGAAGTTTAGGTAATTTCAAAGAAGTGAGGGGTATTTCATAAAAGATAGGGGAACATTATAGTAGTTCTAAGAATGTCATAGTATATTTTAAAACTTCATGGATATTCTATCATATTATACCAGGCTGCTTAAAAATGATTCCAATGATCTTCAGGTGCTCTAAGCTCTTTAAGAGGTCCTTTAGATACTTTTTCAAGACTTTGGGTTGATCAGGTATCATTTTGAAAATATCCAACAATCTAAATCATATCTCGTATTCCTGAAAAAGCATATCCCCAGCTTGCTGATGCCCATGCTTCACCTATTTCGATTGTCCATCTCGAGTGGTACATTTCCATCTTGTTGGAAATTCGCACATATGTTTCCTATCCACAAAAAGTGCAGCAAACGGGATGTGGACAATTATCGTGGAATTACGTCGTTGAGTCCAGTTTCGAAGTTATTCGAGTTAGTTATCATGGAGCCTCTACTCTCTCATTGTAAGCAGTATCTAAGTGGTTCTCAACACGGCTTCACTTCCGGTCGTTCTACTTCCACAAATCTGCTGTGTTTGACATCGTATCTTACGGAAAGCATGGCAGAGAGGACTCAAACAGACGTCATATACACCGACTTGTCAGCTGCCTTCGATAAGCTAAACCATGTCATCGCGATTGCCAAGTTGCATAGACTTGGGGTCAGCGGCAACCTCTTGCGATGGTTTCGTTCACATCTCACTGATCGGCAACTGATGATCTAGCTACGTCAGGAATACTTCAAGGAAGTCACCTTTGACCTTTGATTTTCTTACTCTACTTCAATGACGTGAACTTGGTCATCGAAGGCCCACGACTATCGTATGCAGACGATCTTAAAATCTACCTACGAATCCGCTCGATTGATGACTGTCACTTCCTTCAACGTCAGTTCGAAGCCTTTGCCAGCTGGTGTAATTTGAACCGAATGGTGGTTAACCCCACTAAGTGTTCAGTGATCACTTTTACTCGGAAGAAAGAACCAATCACATTTGAATACAAACTTATCGGCACTGTAATCGACCGTGTGAACCATGTGAAAGATGTGGGTGTTATTCTGGATTCTCAACTTACGTACAAGCAGCTCATCTCGTACGTTGTCGACAAGACGTCTAGGACATTGGGATTTATCTTCAGGATAGCAAAGAACTTCTCCGATATCTACTGTTTGAAGTCACTGTACTGTTCCTTGGTGCGATCCATTCTGGAATATTGTTCTGTGGTCTGGAGTCCAAACTACAACAATGGTGCTGAGAGAGTTGAGTTCGTTCAACGCCGTTTTCTTCGATTCGCTCTGCGGAAGCGGCCTTGGAGAGACCCATTTCTTCTGCCCAACTATGAAAGTCTGATTGATCTGGAGCCTCTCCGAACTAGAAGAGACACCTCTAGGGCCCTGTTCATTGCGGACACTTTACAAGGTAGAATTGATTGCAGTGCAATCTTGGGGCAAGTCAACATTAACGTCCAACCCCGTGCGCTACGTAACAACGTTATGCTGAGATTGCTACTTCAGCACACAAACTATGGCATGAACGGTGCAATAGGTGGGCTGCAATGAGTGTTCAATCGAGTCTAGGGCATCTTCGATTTCCATATGCCTCGACAGCTGCTACGAAGATACTTCTCATCGTTCTTTTCTGGCACAGTTTACCGTTAATGATTGTGTGTTTTATTTATGTATTTTATTTTTTAGTTTTTATTTTTTGACTTACCTATATAAGTTACTTAAATCATCATTGGGGCTTTACACAGCCTGTTGATGCAGACAAATAAATAAATCTCCGTTATCCTCTCATACTAGGCCGCTTAGAAATTAATCCATGTGTTTTAAGATTTCTATAAAGTCCTCTGGATGCTTTTTCAAGACTTCAGGTGGATCATATACTATGATATGATATCATACTATTCAACAATTCAAATCGCATCTCCTAGATATTCTCTCATAATACCAGATGACTCAGAAAATATTTCAAAGACCTTCAGGTGATCAGAGATCTCCAAAAACTTTTCAGGACGTTCTCATGTCTTCCCCAGACAACCAGAAGTCGTATAACAATGTACGGACAATTGCTACAGATTATGTCAAAATCGCATATTAGCATGGCATACCTCGCATTATGTTTAAGTTAAATCGTATAGAATGCAAATTTACGATCTATATGCGATGACTCATTTTTTCTTCGTACTGTATCACAAACTAAATCGGATTACATCGTAAGACTTTTCAAAATGAATTTGTTATTACAGATTAAATCGTATATGATGTTAAATCAACTCGTTTACAAATAAATTAAAATATACACGTATATGGCCTCCACTTTTGTACGTATAAGCCATTTATTTGCATTCTATACGAATTGTTTGTTTGTATATATGTTTGTGTATCACGAAAACAACTTTGAATATACGTGCATTCTGGATGTGTGGGTCAGGTTGATTTGGTATATGTATTCTGAAGTTCTTCAACTGCTCAACAATTTAAATTACCTCTCTCAGATACTAACCCACGATACTAGGTTGCTCAGAAATTGTTTCAAAGACCATCAGGTGATCACCGGTCTCCATAAATAATCAAACTTTCTTTACATGTTTCGACAACAGAATCGTCCGGTATCTCTTCTAGTAGTTCGAGCTCGTTACCTGATACTGGATTGCGAATCATCGAA